AGGATGACGGACCGACCCATCCTAAAGATGTTGCTTGAACTTTTAGTTCATGCTCTAAATATCTTTAGCGCGACCACGGGTGTAACTATCCTTCAACTTGAAGTATTATGTTTTCTGCATATGTGAACCCGCATACTTTGATGCATTGTCCTAAGCCATATGAAATAAGGATGGTATACAGGCTTTGTTTTGGGTATGCCGCAACGCGTATTCAGAAACGTAGATTACGTATAAAGGATTTGTCACTACTCTTTTTAAAAGAGATTAATGTCTTATGGGGCCCACTGATAAGTTATGATTGAGGAAATTGCATGGCCATGCTGAGATGCTTTTATGACGTCTGTTCCTATTAGTCAGACTTGATAAATCAGTGAATGACTTAATGGATACAAGTTGAATTTTATTAATCCCTTGCATTAAGTTTAGACATTGAGACAAAGGGATACAGTTACACGGAGTCTGAGTCGTGGAAAGGTTTTGACGGTGCAAACGTCTTAACTTATAATCTGGGGGCAATAATGTGTTGCTAGATATCGCTTATTGCTTATAGTATTGGTGCAGAGCCAATACTGTGGCCAGCTTTATAAGTGCCTATACGGGTCACACACTTTGGACAATTTAAGGAGTAGGATTAAACAATGGGATAATAAGTAATTTGTATATTTGTAAAAAATAGTAAAATAAAATATTTTGGAATATAATAATATATTTAAATATTCGGTTATATATATTATATATATGTGCCGATTAATATATATATATATATATATATATATAGATATATATATATATATATTATATGTTGAATATTTTATTTTGATTTGTCATTTTAATTATGAAAATAATTATTTTGACATAAACTATTTAAAGTATATTTTTATACTTGTTTAAAATGATATTGGTATTTTTATTTGATTTAAAATTAATTTTATATTAATTTTTGGTGTCAAATAAAATACACTTTGAACATTTAAGTGGAGAAGAATTTCAAATATCCTTCTCACAATCAAACATTTCGGCCAAAGTGATTTAAAAGATCACAAAATCAATCTTTTAAAAAGTTTATTAATTAGTTTAACTTTTAGCTTAATGAAAAGAGTTTGATTAATCTTTTGTTACACGGCTATTACATTATAATGGTGAAGATTATCAATTCTTTTGAGTGAGTTTTTCGGCCATTATATTTTAGTGAGAGAAAATATTTTGTGTTCCATTAATATCATTCTTGTGTATAGAAAATATCTATAATATTTTCTAAATATTATTAGAAATATTTTCTATAGAAATATACAAGATTATTATTATCCCAAATTTTAATCTTTATATTTTATACTACTATAATCTTTACTAGCATAAAGATTGTGGTAGACTCTGGCGTTGTTCGTGTGTCAAAGTTGGAGACCGGACGCTTGATCGGTTACGTTTGCACTTTCAACGCTCTTCCTACGACTTCTTCGTTTTTACCGCTTACGGAGAAAGGTATGAATTGTTAGAATAAGTGCCCTTCACTAGAGGGGGGGTGAATAGTGAGGCACGAGAATGTTTATAAAATTTCGCGGAATAAAAATCGCAGGGATAAAGTAAAGAGTGGAATAAAAAGGAGTAAAGGGAGCACACCAAGATTTACCCTGGTTCACCACAACTTGTGGCTAATCCAGCCTCCCGAGAGACTCTCTCGAGCTACACTACTTCCGTTAAGCTTACGGGTGCTTAACAAACCTTTACAACCTGAGAACTCGAGTCCCACGAGCCTCAATACACTTGCTCGGAGATACCGCACTCCAAGACTTCAACCCGAAGGAAAATACCTTTCCTTCGTACAACCAAGGGAAACAAGCTTCCCTAAACGTGTTTACAACACTAAGAACACTCAAGAACAAGACTCTCTTTAAGAGTAGATGTTGAGTAAACTATATACGCTCAAGAACAACTCAAACTTCACAAATTGGCTCTAGAAAGCTATGGAAAATAATGTTGTTTGGATGCAATGATAATATGAATAAAGTGAAGTGAATTGATTAGAAAGGCAGACCCAAACACCCCTTTTTATAGTGCCAAAATAGGCTCCAACGGACCAATGCATTAAAGGGGTGATTGGCTTGATTTAAGGGATTGAATAAATTTGGGATCTGCAGGATATTGGCTTCCCAGCGATGTATGGACATTACCATCGCTGGTAGGCCAATTTTCCTTCAGTTTTGAAGCCAACGGTTACCTACCCATCGATGGGTACAAGCTTCCCATCGCTGGGTGGGAGGTTGACTTCCAAACAAGGAAAGAATCAACCTTAAATGACTCGCAACGGTCATGCCTAACCATCGATGGTTAAGCCTTCCCATCGCTGGGTTCCCATCGATTGGTAAAGCTTCCCATCGCTGGGTAAGGGCATTCTGCCTTGTGGTAATGTTGCACCAAGGCTTTAACAGCGATGGGTAGAACTTCCCATCGCTGTTTGGCATGATTCTGGAATCCCGGGATCACTTACCCATGCATGGGTGAAATCTACCATCGCTGGGTAGATGGCTAGCCCAGAACCATGGCCTAGCTGACCGGTGCTGAAACCCGACCGAAAAATGCAAAGTTCTCCAAAGTAAAAACTAAGTATATAAAACACTTATTTAATGTATTTTGATGTCAAAACAAGCTTTGTAAGTTGAAAACCACGTCGTTAGGGTAAAAACCACGGTTGACCAAGTCAACACCGTACACGGGTGGTTTTCACCAAAAGACAAAACCGAAAGGTGGTTTTCATGATGTTTTGATTGGAGAACCATTTAAATTCATTCAAAAAAAATTCCCACACAAAAAGACTCGAAAACCACTTCATTTAAGTAAAAACCACGGCTAGCTAAGTTAATGCCGTTTCACATGGTTTTTATCAAACGACAAAAAACGAAAGGTGGTTTTTGAAGTGTTTTTGATGAAAAACTATTTAAATGTGCCCAGAAGTAAAAACCAGTCATAAAAAGTTGAAAACCATTTGGTTAGTTCGGACGCCAAAAACCAACGCCGAAAACCGAATGCCGAATGCCGGTTTCTGAAACCCGAACGCCGGATGGCTTGGTTTTTGGTTTGGGCGAACACCAAGTGTTTTTAATGACTTAAACAAGTTTGAAAAACATTTTTATGATGTAAGAAATGCAATGAGAGATTTTAGCCTAAAGAGCCAAGGTGTAAAGATTGGGTCGGTCTTGATCACAATAAAGACCGACTCAATACTATGATTAAGGTCTTCGTTCTTGGTCTTCGTTTAGCTCTTGCTCTTATCTTCGTTCTTCGCCTTGTATATTCAATGTTCGACTTGATCACGGCGGTTTGGAATTATCAAAACCTGTTACAAAAACAAACACGGCTTTAGTACGAAAACGTGATAAACCCGTGTTTCAACATGAATTCTTACTTACTATAAGTTTTAGTACGTGATTCTGGGCAAGATAATCATGTTAGGATGTTAAAATTTTTGTATTCCTCTGCCTATCCTTGCATGGTTACCTTTCAGTGGTATCGGAGCCAATAAACAAAACTATAGTTTTACGTTTGACTTTTAAAAGTTTAAAAGTCAAAGTTTTAACTTGGTAATTATTAAAATTCAAAAATTGGTAAAATGATTTTATTTAGTCTTGGAATGAGTATAGGACTTAGATAAATCATTGAGAATGAATTTTAAATTTATTTATTTTATTTCTACCCGTAATATATATATAAATACATATATTTTGATTTTTCGAAATATATATTTATATATATTGTAGAAATAGTAAATATAATTTTATTTGAACATAAAACATAGTTTTATGATTGATAAAATTATATTGTAATTTTTGAATGCATTATTTCCTATTTTGAATTTATTGTATTTATTTAGGTGAAAACCGAAAACAAATATGGGAAAATTCAAAATGAACTTTATTAAACTTGGAAATATTATTTCTAAGTTTAATAAGGTTGTTGATAAATATATTGTACAAAATAATATTATTTAGTAATTAAATAAATATATATTTATATATGTACTCGGTTTTATTACCGAACTATTATATATATTTATATATTTGTATTTTAATTACATAAATGACTAATATATATTTTTGAAAGTTATATCTCAGTAAGAAAAAGAATTGTTTTTAAAATATTAAATTTTTATAATTTAATATTTTCGAAATCAATTTAAATGGCTTTTTATAACTTATTGAGATTTAACTAATATATTTTGGAAATAATGATTTATAAATTTTGGAAATTTTATTTCCAGGTTTATAAATGTTGAAAATAATTACTGGAAGTTGAAATTTAATTTTTATGATTTTTGCAAAATTGTTTCAAAATTTTAATGGCCTTTTTTAATATAATTTTGCAAAAGGGCATTTTGGTCATTTGAAATATTCTGGAATTTTTTTTTATGCTGGACGAATATCCAGATTATATAAAATGATTGTATAAAATTTTATTAGATTTATTTGGACATCTAATTTAATTTTATGAGTTTTAGAAAATATTTACTGCCGTAGTATTTTTCTAGAACTGTCTGGGGTGAGCGCGGTTCACTTGGTGTATGTATATCTCTATTTCTTGTGTGGATGTATGATATGCATGGTGGATGATTGTGGCAATAGTTTATTTGATTATAATACGGCCTGCATGTCGTGCCTTATCTCATAAACTCTTGTTGTAAATCTATTTCTCTCTCTTACCTCAACCGAGGATTCTTTTCTCACGTGGTGGTTAGAAGACGAAAAGATTTGAAGAACGTTTGAACAAATCTAAAACAATGGAGATAGCCCAAGTCCAAGTGCCCGGAAGTCAGTGGGAGCTATCGTTTTATTTTTCTTTTAGGGACCACAATCATTACACGTTTATTTACTGCGTTTTGTGAATGTATGTTGAATGTATGTTGAACGCTAGTAATGGATATGTGCGCGGCCATGTCGATAGGTGAGATCGAAATTATAAATCCCTCACGAATATTAAGTCTGTTGCCTTCTAACGCCCGGCACCTATCCAGCTAATGTGCATTGGCATGTACTCAGCCTCAGCAGAGCATAGTACGGTGTATGTTAAGCTGGTTACGGGAACCGCCATAGCGTGGTCGCTGTCGCACGTTGGGTTAGACTTAACTGAGTCTCGGTCAAATGGATGGACGACTCAGAGGCAGTAAGTTGGGGTCATCAATGACAAGTCGGATGATTTTACTCACTCATCCAGCCAGGAGTTGGATCTTTATGATTTAATTGGAACTCTGTTCCTAACCAAAGTAGTCTGCTTGTAAGACGTGCCTCAGCCAATTACAAGTACGGTGAAAAGGTGTCATGGTCCGATTGTAGTAATATTGTTCGCCCAACACCAGACCAAGAGCTGAGAGCCCGGCTCATCAGTTGGAACTATGTTCCTACCTAAATAGTTGTCTTGTGGAGTAACGCCCAAGCGGAACGCAAGATAATGAAATATGGATCTTGGCCCACTAGAGGTTTCGCCGGAAATCTCCGAATCAATATCGAGGGTTATTGATTTGTTAAAAATAGTGGGAGATAATTAATTAAAGGCCTAATTAATTATTAAACATGATAGATAACCTAGTTTGCAAAATTTTCTGTAGATGGCAAACAACAACAACCCTTTCAACCTGCGATATGTTCTAGAAAAGGAAAAATTATCTAGAACCAACTTTCTTGATTGGGAGATGAATCTTAAGATTGTTCTCGAATGCGAGAAAAAGCTCTACGTCCTTACCTCTGAGCCTCCCAAAGCTCCTGAAGCGAACGCCCGTGCTACAGAAATTACTTCGTACAAGAAGTATGAAGACGATGCACGTGATGTGAGATGTCTCATGCTAGCCACCATGACCCCGGAGCTCCAAAGGCTCCATAAGGACATGGAAGCTCATCCTATGATGAGTCGCTTGAAAGGTCTATACCAAGGCCAGGATAGACATGAGCGTTTCAAAATCTCTACGACTCTGTTTTCCAGTAAGCTGGCAACGGGTAACCCAGTTGGTCCACACGTTCTCAAGATGATCGTTTAGATCGAAACTCTTGAAAAACTGGAGGCCCCGTTGCACCCTATGCTGGCAACTGATCTCATCTTGGGATCATTACCAGCTGAGTATAGTCAAACTGTAGTGAACTTCTACATGAACAAACTAGAGATGACTGTGCCTGAGCTATTGAAATTCCTCACAACTGCTGAGGAGAGTCTAGGGAAAGGCAAGGGTAAGTCTGTCATGATGGTAGAGGGCAGTACTATTGCGAAGAAGAGTGGGCCACGTTCGCCGGCCGGGACCAAGCGCAAGGGTTCTAAGAAACCCAAGCCAGCGTCCAACTCCTCTTCGTTAAAACCCAAAGAAGGAGCTAAAAAGAAGTCTGATGTATGCTATTATTGTGGCAAAAAGGGCCACTGGAGGCGCAACTGCGCAAAATTACTGGTAGAGAGGAAAGAGGGAAAGAAACCTCAAACCTCAGGTATCTTCGTTATTGAAGTCAATATGTCTGATATCACCTCTTGGGTGATGGATACTGGATGTTGTTCTCACATCTGTACTTCTATGCAGGATCTACATGAACATAGACAATTGACGGAGGGAGAGATACAACTAAAAGTCGGCAATGGCGCACTCGTAAATGCATTAGCCGTCGGAACCTATAGTTTATCTCTACCTAGTGGTCTTGTATTGCAGTTAAATAATTGTCTGTTTGTACCCAGTATGAGCAGAAACATCATTTCTATATCCTGCCTTGACAAAGCAGGATTTTCGTTCGTTGTAAAAGACAAAACTCTTTCTGTCTTTAGAAATGAAATATTTTATGCAACTGCAAAAATGACCAACGGTCTCTATGTCCTCGACATGGATACCGCAGTATATAACGTAGATGTTAAGAGAAACAAACCTAACAGTTTGAATCTCGCGTACCTTTGGCATTGTCGTTTGGGCCACATTAACGAGAAACGCATATCTAAGTTACATCGTTC